ATGCCAGGCATCGGCTGGGCGGCGCCATCGCTGGCTGCGCCTGAGCGCTGTCCCACGCTGTTGTTTTGTGTTGGTGTGCCGGACGAGATGACGATCGACTCGTCTGATTGTGCAGATGCATTTGTTGGTGCGTGTGGTGGCGCTGGAGTGTTCGTCGTTGAGTGCGGACGTGCGGAGTCACGTTCCGCCGTGAGCGTCGCAATTTCGAGCGTCGAATCTTCGAGTTGGCGCACCAGACGGTCGAGCTGCTCCTGCGTCAATGTGGCGAGCGTGAATTCGGCCATGGCGGGGGTGTCGGGCGAGCTCAGCGAGAGCCTCAGTCGTGGCCGTGCGTGCTTACGAGAGAGCACTACGAGCGGCGGTGCTGTGTCGCTGAGAGACGTCTACCCCCCCCAAAAATTGAGATAGTGGGGAAGCGAAGGTATGGGTGCGGTCCGAGAAGAGATCGTAGGCTCTGAATACCAAGTGTTACGAGTGCAATTGAGTGAACGAACGAGAATTGCACTATCGAAACAAGAGTACAATGAGCGAAGGTATGAGCGAAGAATATATAGCGAAACTACAGTGGTAACGGTAATGGACTGTGGTTGTCGCGCGACGGGCCTGGGACTGAGGTTGGGAAAAGTGTCGAAGCGGAGGCTCGAAGCGCGGGCTCTCTTCATTCCCCCATCCTAGGGATGAGCAAGGGGCGAACACGAACATGTTCGTGTTCGCCCCTACACGAACTCATCCGTTTGCCGAACCGAACACAGTTCGGTTCGGCGAACACTTTAAGCAAAAACTCCGGCGCGCAGGTCGTCCGCGTCGGCGCGCAGGTCGTCCGCGTCGCCGCGCTGGTCGTCCGCGTCGGCGCGCAGGTCGAACGCGTCGGCGGGCAGATTGAGGCGTGGCGGCGGGAGGGAGGATTGCTGCCACGGGGGAGCGGTTTGAGGCTGCGGGAGGGAGGATTGAGGCCGCGGGAGGGAGGATTGAGGCCGCGGGAGGGAGGATTGAGGTCGCGGAGGAGTAGATCTAAGCCGCGGAAAGCTAGATCTGAGGTGCGGGAGGGCGGAACTGAGCCGTAGGAGGCTAGACCTAAGGTGCGGGTGGACCGGTGTAGGCCATAGTCCGCTAGGGTAAAGGAGGGGAGAGGAGATTACAGCCTAAGGATCGAGGGAAGGTGGCGTGAGACATTTGGCTCTGAATACCATGAAAGGATTCAAGAATGTTTGAGTAATGAGCCAAGGAGGCTCTATAGTACATGCATGCAAGGAAGAGAGGAGTGGAGGAGGAGCTAACCCTATTGGCCACTAAGTTGGCCAATGGGTTAGGTGCCTTGTGGAGTAGGAAACCCCACAATGTAGCTAGGATGTGATTGGTTGGTGGTAGGACCAAAAGTTGGCAAGTGCCAACCAAGGACCAAGACCAAATACAATCTTGACCAACCACAAAGTGTGGTTGGAGTGTACACCCAGCCTCCCAAGAACATAAGTGACTACACCTATTCTAGCCTATGAATGTTGTATATAATGTACATTTACAACAGGATGGAGACATGTGGGTGAGTCATCCAATAGTAGTACATCAGATTTGGATTACTGTATTTCTGTTTTAGTTCCATTTACTTGTTCACTCTTCCATTGACACTTGGCCCTAAAACCATAAATGTGTCCCATTCTTTTTGCAAACCTACCATTTTCCCTCCCCTTCACCTCTCCTCCTTTGTGCCATGCACACAAATCTCTTGCAGAACACCTCTTAAGCAAAGGTGGTGGATTCCGGTTGACCCATTTGCCCCCTCCCTTTTCCCTACAACACCACCCACCCGTTCAGGCGTAGGTGCTAGATTTTGGGTTGACATAATCTCCACCCTTTACCCTTCCCGTGACCTCTCTTCTCCTCTTTTGCCATGCCACGCACCTTGTATGGTTCACCCATGCCGCCAATGTTTGCGGGTTTCCGGTTGGTCCATCTCCTCCTTCCTCATCCCCAGAGCGCCTCAGACATTTTTTGACAAATGACGGATTTCCTCAGAGTGCTCTTTAAACCACACACCTTTACACCACGCATCTCCCACTCCCTCTCCCCACACCACCACCCACCCTCACAGGCGAAGGTGGCGGATTTTGGGTTCATGGGATGATGAAGGCGACCCACTGAACCCTTCTCTACAGCTTGAGGTGCCACCTTGTTCAACTTGTCCTGTCTGATCTCGCTCCCTCTCCATCGCCATGCCATGCACCGTTTCAAAACCCATTGTCGCGCAGGGGAAGGTGGCGGATTTTGGGCTCATGCGGAAGATGGAGGCGACCCAGGTGAACACCACGAGGGTGATGGGCACCCCGGGCTATGTGGACCCTGAATACCACCAGACCCGTCTTGCCACCACCGCCACTGATGTATACAGGTGAGTGGTGCTGACCAGTGGTGGTGCCTTGGTGCCGCATTGTGTGGGCGTGGGTGATGGGAGCATCAGGCTATGTATGTGCACTCCAAATAGCACCACGGCATCTTGTCATCACTCCCACCAACACGCAAAAGTGTATTGTGATCTGCATGGGGTGGAATTTTTTTTGGCGCCTCAAAATCTCCAAATAGCACCACGACATCTTGTCATCCCTGCATTGTGCCTGCCACCAACATGCAAAGGTGTCTTGCAAACTACAGAGGGTGAATAAGTGTGTGCTTGGCTTGTGTGCGTCGAAGCATTGCCAGCTGTGGATCTGCAGCAGCTACTACGGATATTAGTGGAACATGACTCCTTTCTCCTCCAATACACCGATCGACCACCTATCCATGAGTTGACAAAAGTAATAATGATGGTTTTTCGTTGAGCACCACTTCTCTCTCCACTCATCTCTCCTGAATGACCAACCCCACCCCTTTCCCTCAGTTTCGGAGTGCTGCTGCTGGAGATGCTGACCGGTAGGGAGCCACTAATCAAAATGATTTTTGTTGGGCACCACTCCTTCCTCTCTCTTGAACAACCGCCTTTCTTTTCCCCTTCAGCTTTGGAGTGCTGCTACTGGAGATTCTGACTTGCAGAGGGCCAATCCTATCAATCGATGGCTCAAAATCGCACATTCAGGACTGGGTGAGTCATTCTTGAGGCACCTCAAACGCCCATCCTCTCAGTCAATGCCTGGCGTTTACACATCCAAAATTGGTTGAGCCATTTGTCCTATCCCTGTGCCGCAACCTGTCCACTTGCTGATTTCTCTCCAATTCCCCCGTTCTTGCGATAGCCCACACTTTCGTGTCGTCAATTTCCCTCATCTGCATATCGTAGTCTACTCGCTATACCCAATGACTTCTGAGTCGGGTCAAAAGTCCCTCCCCTCGCACCCCCTCACTTCCATCATACAGGCAGCTGCAGAGCTCTCTAGTGGTGACGTCAGTGTAAAAGTTAGAAAAGAGAAGGGGGTTGCACTAGCAAGAATGGGGATACAAATAGCAAACCCTAGAAGGGTTGTACTCGCTATAGAGCACCCCACTACAGGCTAGAGCATAAGATAACATTCTGACACACCCCCATAGCCAAAGTGGGGTGTAATCAGCAGAGCAAGCAAAGCAGTACAAGCTCAGGGTGGATCACAATGTCACCACACATTCTGAGCACAAGTTCAAGAAGCAATAGTTTAAGGTTCACAATTATGAGCAAAGCTAGTGGTAGTCACAACGGGCAAGTGAGGAGGAGGAGAGAGAGTGAGGGGAGAGGAGATAGGAGGCGACGGCTGAAGCTGCAGACACACGGGCAACAGGAGGCACACTGGCACAGCGGCTACCGGAACAATGCCCCGGAATAGTGGAGTAACTGGCCCCGCGGCTAAAGTAGCGGCAGACGAGCAACGGACCCACGGGCGGCTGGCACAGCTGGCTACGACTGGGCTACCGGAGCAACTCCCCGGAATACAGGTGCTGCTGGCGACACGACGGCAACCTCCATACAGCTTCCTCACACTATCCCACTCCCCCCTGGCATGCACCCGCTGCTACACCGCTAGCTCCACTCACACGCACCCCCCTTAAACCCTAAACCCCAGACTCCCACACATCCACCCCCCTCAGCGACAACTGCAGCAGTGGGAGACGAAGGAGGAGGAGGAGAAGGGGATGGCACGCACAACCAACACCCCCACAACCATCACCCCCATACCCGTCACCCCCATACCCTGAGTGTGCGGTAAGCGAGCTCAGGTGTGCGTGAAGCGTGCACAAGCGTGCGGGAAGCGAACTCGGATGTGCGGTAATCGAACTCAGGTGTGCGGGGAGGGGGGCCGCAGGGCGACGCGCGGGTCGACGGGGACGGGTGCACGGGTCCCCAGGGGCGGCGCGCGGGTCGACAGGGCCGCCGCGAAGGGCAACGAGGAGCCGCGCGCGGGTCGACGGGGCCGCCGCGAAGGGTGACGGGGAGCCGCGCGCGGGTCGACGGGGCCGCCGCGAAGGGCGACGGGGAGCCGCGCGCGGGACGACGGGGCCGCTGCGAAGGGCGACGGGGAGGCGCACGCAAGTCGACGGGGACGGGCGACGAGGCCGGTGCACGTGCCCTCGGTGCGCCGAGACGGGTCCCCGTCGCCCGTCGCGGCGCCTCCAGAGGGCGACGCGGCGAACGACGAGGCAGAACCCCGCCGCGCACCTCGGGGCGCACAGCGGGCAGAGAACCGCCGCGCGCCTCGGGGCGCACGGCGGGCCAAAAACCGCCGCGCGCCTCTGGGCGCACGGCATGAATAAAAAGTGGCGTGCGGCTCAGAGTGTAGTGGTAGGAGTTGCACCGGAAGCTAGGAGGTGGTAAGCCCACCCACAGGATCGATCCAAGGGGATCGATCTGCTCTGATAGCATGTAAAAGTTAGAAAAGAGAAGGGGGTTGCACTAGCAAGAATGGGGATACAAATAGCAAACCCTAGAAGGGCTGTACTCGCTATAGAGCACCCGACTACAGGCTAGGGCATAAGATAACATTCTGACAGTCAGCTCCATTATAGACCCTCGGATGGTCTCCCCTGCAGCTTCTGGTGCCAGCATGGTGCATGCTGACGTCATAAAGAGCCTTGCATCCCTGGCGTTGGCATGCACTGCCATGCCCGCTGCCTTGCGCCCCTCCATGGCCAAAGTGCTCTCACAGCTGAAGCAGCTGCACGAGGAGGTGGTGAGGCGGGAGGGGGAGAGCGGATTGCAGCAAGGGAGTGTGCTTGGAGTACTGGGAATGGGGGGAGGGAGTTGGCTGGGGAGGGAGAACCGTGTGAGCCCTGCAGCTGAGTCCACGGTAAGGAGTGTGAGTGCGGAGAGGGGAACGATGGATGACGAAGGCAGTCCTGAAGAGGATGAGAGCTTGACTGTTGGTGAGGGGGCATGTGGGGAAGCAAGTAGGAGCATGGGTGATGACCACAACTGAATGGACCATGTTTGAGCTAATACAGTTCAGTGTGTATAAATACCATGTGTTGAAAATCCGAAGCTTTTGTATGGATTCAAGTGTTTGAGTATGAATGTGGTATTTGCGGTTAAGCTGTATCTTTCCCCTCAATACGAGGATGTCTCTTGAAAAGGAGGCGTCGCAAATGCTAGAAACTGAGTGCGCAAACTCCATATTTGTTAATTTTTATTGCTTCATATATATCATTAAGTGCTTCTACAACCCTGATTAATTGAAGTGCACCTGATTTTGAATCCGGGAGATCATGGTACCAGATTACCAGTACTGAGCTGTTGAAGGATTGCAAAGATCTTGTGCTAACGAAATTTGACCAAAAAGGTTTACACCTTTGTGGTTGCGAGACATACGGTACTTGCGAAGGCGACCATGCTCGGCTTCGATATCTTGGCTTCTATTGGCATTTCAACATTCCAAAAAAGAAGAAAAAACAAGAGGCAACGAAGTTGTCGGAGGGTTGCGAAGCTTTTTACCGTATGGCCCCGGATATAAGTGCAGGCCTATTATAAGCGCATGCGCTTGTATCTGGAGCAATGCGCTTATGGTCGATCCTCATTTATAAGCGCACCCCCTGTAAAACTATGACTTATTATGAGCGCATGTATAATAATATTTTTTAAATCCTGATAAACGCAGTAACGAAATTCAGTTTTGCAGCGAGTCACATCCAATTTCAATTTGTTCGACTCTCTCGTGGGCCTCATTGGCTTCGAGACTTCGATTCCAATCAGGAGGATGCGCTGGCACGCCTGCAAAGTGACATGCCAAGGCTCTTTTCGCCAGCAGAGAATCGCCCTTGCGCAATTCTGACTTCGGACCCTCTTACAATGCGTTTCGATTGAGATCGCAAGACTCAGATGTGAAGATTAGAACGAGAATGATTGACTAAGGAATGAGAGTGATACAAATGTGAAACCCTAGAATTGTGTACCCCTTAGTATCTAACCCGCTACAGACTACGCAGGCTAGATCATTTAAGTCTGACACACCCCCATAGGCAAAGTGGGGGAGAACAAGGGGTCACAAGACCAGCCAAGCAAAGCAAGCTCAGGGTGGATCACAACGTCACAACACATTCCGAGCACAAGTTCAAGGCCACAAGGCCAGTTCACATGCAATACTATATATACAAAGGTAAACAAGCAAGTGCAGGTATAGATAGATCACAGTACAAGCAAGGTCAAGAAGTGAGCAAGTGAGGTAAAGTAGGTACAAGACCTAACAGAGTACAGAAGCGCTGATGATCACAAGGCGCGAGTGCCTTGGTGAAGATATCAGCAGTGTTGGCCTGCGAGGCCACGTAAGCAAGTCATAGCTGACCACGCTGTTGCAGCTCACGAGCAAGAAAGTAACGGAGAGCAATGTGCTTCGTTCTGTGCTCCAGTCTATGCTCCCGACACAAGGCCAGCATGGCCTTGTGGTCTACGTACAGAACTGGAGGAGAACGAGGCGGCTCTCCAAGGTCAGTCAGCAGGTAGGTGAGCCAGCATAACTCCTGTGCAGCCATGGCCCCTGCGTAGATCTCAGCCTCACAGCTCGAGCTGAGAACAGAAGACGAGCGGGTAGACCGCCACAAAACAGAACCGGAACCAAGGCTGAAGGTGTAACCCTGTGAGGACCGCTGCGTAGCCAAGTCGTCAACCCAAGAAGCATCTGCGTGACCAGTGAGGACCACTGGACTCCGCACTCCAAGCACTAGCCCCATGCCCGACGTACTGCACAAGTAGCGCAACACCCTCTTCGCTGCAGCCATGTGCTCTGGTCGGTGTCTCCTAGGAGCAACATAGCGTGCCAAAATGCTAAGAGGGTATGCAAGGTCAGGTCGAGTGCAGGTCATCAGGTACATGAGGCAGCCAACAAGCTCTGGGTACGGGCCACTTGGCTCTATGGACTCATCCGAAGGCAGAGCTGAGAGTGAGTGGCGAGTAGACAGAGGAGTGGCCTGAGGCGAGGAGTACGTGAAGCCGAAGCGCTGAAGGACCTGCTGCACCATGTGTGACTGAGTCAGGGTAATGGTGCGGCGTGCTCTGTCCCGAGTGATTTGCAAGCCAAGGTAGCTGCGCATTTCACCCAGTTCAATGTACGTGTGTCTCTTCTACAGCTTGGACTTCACGTAGGCGAGTCCCGCAGTGTCAGCAGTGGCAAAGACCAAGTCGTCGACGTACATGAGGATGTAGAACGGCGGCAAAGAGGTGTCGGTGCGCAGAAACAGCGACGGGTCGGCAGTAGAAGGAGCAAACCCAAGAGCCGCAAGTGTAGTCCTCAGTGTGTCGTGCCACTCACGGGGCGCCTGGTGGAGACCGTAGACTGGCCGCCGGAGGCTCCACTGGGTACCAGGAGGAAACGACCCAGTGAAGCCAGGTGGGCAGCACAGCCAGATCTCCTTGTGCAGGCTACCCTGCAGGAAAGCAGTGCTGAAGTCAAGAGAGTGAAGCTCGTAGTCGCGCAGAGCGGCTATGTGCAGCAGCACCCAAAGAGTGGTCATCTTTGGGGTGGGAGAGAAGGTCTGAAAGTAGTCAACTCCCTGCCGCTAACTGAAGCCTCGAGCCACGTAACGCGCCTTGACGACAGGCGGAGAACCCGACGGCCGCTTCACCCTAAAGATCCACATGCCACTTACGATGTTCGCCCTAGGTGGGGGAACCTCGTCGACGTAGGTGCCTGTGGACTTCCAGGAAGCCATCTCTGCCTCCATGGCTGCCTAGCACTGAGAGGAATAGGGACCCTCTATCGCCTCTGCGTAAGAGCGCGGAGTCGGGATGTCTGGTGCATCCGGGTCTCCCTCAGGGGCAAGAAGCATGGACAGGAGATGAGGTGAAGCAGAAGCAAAACACTGGAACTCATCCTGCCTGTCCTCAAGGACGTTCGTGCCCAGAGCACACTCACCCCCGACGGACGGAGGACAGACAGACGCAGACTCAGCAACAAGACTAGCAGCGTAGTCTAGACGATAGCGAGCAGCGAAGTCGACAAGCTCAACAACTAAGGTAGACCAGCAGTGGACTCAAAGGAAGGGTCAGTGACGACAGTAGCAAGGAGACGCATGACAGTAGGACTGGCAGCACGAAGGGAGTCCGACTCCGGGTCAGGAAGAGCAGGAAGAGAGGACTCGGGAGGAGAAGGCAAAGGGGAACGAAACGGAGAAGTGGAAGGACGCAGAGACATCCGGTGCTTACCGGGGACAGAAGGAGGACGCTGATGCGAACCACGACCACCAGTGCGAGCAGCACGGACAGGCGACGCAGGACGAGACGCAGGCTCACGACGCTCAGCAAGACCTCCAGTAGCACCAGTGTAGGGAGAAGGAGAAGGCAGAGAGGAGGCGGGCTGTAACTGTGACTCGGACAGGACAGGCGGTGGACACTCTAAAAGAGGAGCAGGACCAGTAGAGGGCGGAAGACCAAGAACCTGCTCAAGGAGCGGAACAAAGTACGGCTGCGGCCGCGCAGCACCCCTTGAACCAGCAGGAACAGCACCAGCACCCCCAATGGCAGTACCAGCTCTAGTAGCACCCCTAGCTCCAGCAGCGCCAACACCGGCACCCTCAGAAGCACCAGCACCAGAAGTACCTCCGGCGCCAACACCCCCAGCAGCTCAAGCTCCAGTCAGACCACCAGAAGACGCAGCAGCTCCAGCTCCAGTACCTCCAGGAGCACCGACTCCAGCAGGACCGCCAGCTCCAGCACCTCCAGCAGCAGTACCAACAGGCCCGGCAGCTCCAGTACCTCCAGCACGAGCACATTTGGGACCCGTGGCTCCAGAACCCCCAGCAGTAGAAGAACCTCCAGCCGCAGCGGAACCTCCAGCGCCGAAAGCACCACGAGCACCAGCAGCACGGCGCAAGCGCCTAGCAAACCATTTGCGCAGCTCCTGCGGAGAGAGCGGCTCCCGCCGGGGTGAAGGACCACCAGGCTCAGCATCACCCGACTCCACACGAGTAGGCCCCGCACCCTCAGGCCCCACACCCCCAGGCTCCGTGCCCCCAGACTTAGCAACCCCAGGCTCAGCACCCCCAGACTCAGCACCCCCAGGCTCAGCACCCCCAGGCTCACCACCCCCAGGCTCAGCACGCTCAGGCTCAGCACCCCCAGACCCGGCACCAGCAGGCTAAGCTCCCCTAGCAGCACCAGAGTCACCAGCTACCTCAACAGGCTCGACCGCGTCTACCTGAGACATACCTGAGGGGGCAGGTACCTGAGGGGGGAAGGGGTCTACCGGGGGGGACCTGGCGTGAGGAAGAGCGGCAGGGGGGGATTGGGAGGAGTGCGGTAGGGGAAGAGACGGAAGTAGGGAACTGACTCGTCAAACGTGACGTCATGAGAGGACAGAACACGGCGCGAGGTGGGGTGGTAAAACTGCCAACCAGGCGCGACAGGGGGGAAGCCAAGGAAGATGCAGGGAACAACTCAGGAGGACAGCTTGTCCGGAGACAAGTCGCGGACAAAAGCTCGAGATCCCCAGACACGGAAAGCAGACGCATCGCCAACCTTCCCCATCCACCGCAAAGTAGGGGAGGTCTCCGACATGGAGACCCGGGGCTGAAGGTTGATCTGATGCGCCGCGTAGTGAACCACGAACGGCCACAGAAAATGGGGAGCAGCCGCATGGATCATGGACGTACGAGCGACGTCCATGACCATGCCAATGCGGTGCTCAGCAATCCCATTTTGCTGTGGAGAGGCCGGAAGTGTGAACGTCTGGCGGATGCCCTCCGCAAGATAGTAGGCTCGCAAAAGGTCGGAGGAAAACTCTCCACCTCTGTCGGAGTGCAGACGGAGAACAGGAAAGTCCTAGTCGAACCTCTCTCTAAGCTGGAGACGAGCAGCGCGGATCCAGTCGATCAACACCTTAGTGACTTCACCCTTGCGGCGCAAGGGGAAGACTTTGGTGTAACGCGAGTAGTCGTCAAACACCAGCAGGAAGTAACGCTCGTGACCCTGTCCAAGGACGCGGGCTGGGCCCCACACGTCCATGTGAAGCGTCTGCAGCAGAGCCTCTGTCGGAGGAAACTCGGAGGAGTGAGGAGCGACGCGCTGCCGCCCCTCGACGCAGGGAACGCAGGTGGGGGCAGGCCCCAAGGGAAGGGGAGGTAGGGACCTAGGGAGACCAGAGACAAGGAAACGGGAGGCCATGCCTTGGAGACGAGGTAGGGAGGGGTGACCAAGGCGGTGGTGCTAGAGGAGAGTCTGGTGAGACAGGAGACGGCACGAGCTGGGGTTAGACTCAGGACCAGACCCGGACGCTGCAGCAAACACCTGACCCGACGCAGCT